AAAGCAGCCAAATACTCACCCGGGTCTCGGAGCGATTTCCAGGCGTTGAAGGAGATGGGGTTTTGAGCTCGGGTTTCGACTGTAGTTCGTCCTTCTTTGAGGATCCCGACTTCTCTGTCTTGCCCTGATCAACCCTGTCGGCTTCTTCCCTCTGCGGGGGTGGCGGCGGCGGCTGCTTCGACTCCTACACCATACCTAAACAGAGATACATACCGGCGGTGACCGCTACGTACCTGTTGGTCTTTCGGCTCCGCCTTGTCCTCTGTTTCTTTTAGCTGCTCCCGCACTTCGGAGCCCTCAGTAGGTTTTGATTGGGCTGCAGATAAACAGATATGTACTGGCGCGCGGACAGTAAAGGTGAAACACACTTACTTTCACCCTGCGCGCCCGCCTCAATCTTGAACAAATCCTGTCCTACTGTCACCGTGTCGTCCTCGTTAGCTAGCAACTCGACAATTTTCCCAGCCGCCGGGGCGTTTACCGACACATCAATCTGACAAATGCGCGCACATCCACGTGTAAATTTTCGGGGCTGTACTCATCCCCATGGGGTCTGCGCACCTTGTCCGTCTCAATCGTCGCAACCTCCTCATCCTGCTCGACGTATTCGCCCACTTTCTTCTGCCACTGCTTCAACGTGCCCTCTGTGATAGATTCCGCCATTCCAGGGACTTTGACTGTCTCCGTTTCTGCGTATTAATTGTATTAACAAACCTCTTATTTCTCTCTAACACATTAAAATATGCTACATACCAAGCAATCTGACGCTCGTATGAAACCTTGCTCGCGCAAGAAGCACTGACCGTGCAACATTCCTATGTAACGCCATAATCAGCCAATTACTCGAGTGGCACTAGGAGGAGAAAACAACAAGGGAAGTACACACCGATTCCCTAATGTTCTTGACCTGGTCAACGAAATTATCCGTTTCGAGAGCATGTTCCAATCCTGAAACTATGATGGGTAAATAATCCTGATGTGGTGTCGGGCAGATGAGGACACGGGGAAAGAAGAGGAAGGCTGGATCGATGGTAATGGGATAAAGTTGTCGGTGGTGTTGTCACGGGAGTTGGATGAATGATGCAGACTGGGGGCGTTTGTGGGTGTATTTTTTCAATTCAATTCAATGTTAAATTACTTGGCAATCACTTCACTGCCTGGGCCAATTCGGATATATGTATTTTCCACCATTCAAAGTCATTCGCGTGTTCCCCTTGCAATGAATACTCATATGTACAACATTGAAATTACTCGACTGTGGAGACTGAACACCATCAAGGCGGAAGTCAAATGAAGTCAAATGAAGTCAGGTGTCATACAGCAAGTGTCGACAGTTGAGGTACCCGCGCCATCCACTGTGGGATTCGGAGAATATTTTTGGATTAAAAAATTTTTGTTACGTATCGTCACCGAATAATAATACACGGGTTCTTATATCTCCCTTTAGAGTATTTTTAATCAGGCAGTTCAATTTCACATATTTTCCCGGACTAATCAGCTGAACGCAGACGCTAGTGAGCAACCATGCCGAGGCATGAGGCGAACGATCAGCCAGTTCAACTTGGGCTTCCGAAGGCTCCCAGAGTAATAGCACCCCTTATGCGCTGTTTCACCATTTCATTAATATCTCCGGGCTGTCTCGCAAAAGTTTAGAATCAAGCTATTGCGGATACAGAAGAACCGGACTTACCACAGCCCCGGAAATAAGGCTTCCGAGAGTCGCTGCAACATTGCTGCCTTCGCATTCCATCCGCTCCGAGGTTCTGTGCCTCTGAAATATAGTGTCACGCTTAAGGGCGAAGCCGGGACCCGGAACATCCTGTTTAGTAGGTCATTCGCGGGTCTGAAGATGCAAAAATGAATAAACATGCGCAATTATTCTGTGATCTGTTTAATATTGGTAAAGACATGGATCAAAAGGCACAAAGTCTATAATACCGTCCACTCACCTCAATGCCCTCATATCACAAATCGTCGTATTTCTACATCCTCCCTCATCATCACATGGTTGCACATCTCCCCCTCTTGATAATCGCTCATTGAACAATTGAAATGCTGTATTATTGCTCTCGAACACTTCCGTGAGTCTGTGCCAGAATGCAGCGTCAAGGGGAGAGCTACCGGCAAGCGGCGGTGTAGTGAGGGGTCCATAGGACTCTCGAGCAGAGTAGTAAAATTGCCAGGTTGCTAAGAGAGGATAAGATCCATGTAATTGATTAAAATAAGGCTCACGTTTCGTTTGGAAATTTGGATCAGAGGTGTTTGCTTTGACAGTATCAGGATTCCGAACAGCTGGAATGGTTACATCTCATTCTGGACGCACTGATGAACACTTTCATATCCATAACTTCCAGTGTATCCGGATCGATATCGTATAGCTTGAAAGCAGGATTGCCACCTATTGTATACGCATGCTTGAGTATCCCTTTCCCATCAACATTATAGAAAAAATGTCCCACTTGTAGGCGTCAAGGCTGGACCAATAAAAGCAATGCTATCCGCCGTTTCCGCCGTTTGGTTATCATAGTCTGAGTACGCAATCTCAAATTCATCCTACCAAGCGGTAAGGTAATTCATAACACGGAGGTGAGGCAGATGATGCATAAACACACCTTGTGACTATGCCCGTAAAAATGCGCCGCAATTGTATGTTTATACCGTTGCACAATCTGGTCCAAGTAATTGGACTACCAAAATTCAATATCAGTTATCAAGGCTAAGTCGTTAAATCAACTCCGAAACACTCTTTATTAACCTGATCATGGAATATGTCGGCTTTACCCAAAGGAATATGTCCAAATAACCAAGCGCGTTCGCCTGCATCCTCGGCGGCTTGAAGTTGATCCACGATGAATGCCATGATACCATTTGGATCGGCACTGAGCAACATGAGCGAGTAGTTTATAGATATACTGTAAAACTTACGGCATGTTGTCAGTGTCATACAACCAAAAACTGAGATGAATTAAACGATTCAATTGGAAAGCAAAGCAGTTGATTAACACACTTTGATGGATACCTAAAAAGGGACTTTATTTAATATGAACCTCAATATATCCAGAGACGGTCGTAATACCAGTACTGAGTGTTGATAGAGATGAGTCTGTGTTCCCGTTAGACTGAAAAAAATGTTGCTGCGAGAATTTGCAAACCGGAGGTTAAGATCCTTCATAACTACGCTGTATGATCCGGAAATATGGTCGAGCTGATTTGCTGCCTGCCAGTGGATCCATCGCTAAAACGGTGGTCGGGGGCTGTATGCATGATAGGAAGTTGACTAAGAAGCTAACCTTCCATCCTGCACTTTGGGTATCAAATACCCATTGCGCATTGAGCGATGTAATCGTATCATTTCTTGGAAAGCCATTGACTGGGGCGCTATCGCTGGATGTAGGAAGGCACTTAGATCTATGTTCGGTTAAAATGAGGGTAACCCACTGATTCCCTGTTGTTGTTTTTTTTTTTGTGATTTAAGGAAGGAAGATATTTCAAGGGGAGACGAGACATACCAATCGCCCCAAAGACGGGAGCACCTACCTTTGCCGCCATTTGGGCGTTCCAGGCTTTCAGATCTGTTTCACCTTCCCTACATGCATATTTCTCGTCAGATCACGAACTCAAGTCAAAGCAGAGCACATACGCCTTATCAACTAGCCATGTCGCACCTTCAATGGAGTCTGCCCCGTTAGGGTATTGGTGTTTCTTTTTCGATGCTCACCTTCAATAACATCTCCAGTGAAAAGAGAAAACTTCGCTCTTGATCCAAGCTCATTCATCGCGCTCAAGAGGCTATCAGCGAGCGCAGGAGGACTATCACATTTATGGTTTCCAAACGGGCCAGCAGGCTCTGTAACAGGGCCTGTTTTGTCAGCGAAATTGCGACAACAGATGTTCTTTGTGCAATTAGCATCTGATCCGACCTTTGACAGAGCATTTAGACTTCTGCGAGACTGAAAATAAAGGGAAAACGCTACGGTATATTGTCTGTCTATGTGCACGTCGCTGATATGAATGACTTGAAAAGGCACTCTTCTCTGGGATTTGAATTGTTTTGGGTATTGAGGAGCAGGTTTAGGGAAAGAGACGTTAAAGAGTTGTACTGGTGGCTGGGTGCACAGGCCAAAGGTGACGGTACAGAATTTGACGGCAGTAGTGCCGCCTACAGTAAACTGGCGGAGAGAGTGCGCTAATACGGGTCCCGTTAGATTGAAAGTTCCAGCACAGACGTCATCGTCCTGGAGCTATAAAGGCCTTCTTTGTCAATCTAACTCACTGTGGTAAATCGTAATGAACCTTCAACGCCTCGCAAATTTCGGTGAACGTTTGAACGAACGGATCATTTCCGAGATGGGCAAGTGTCTGTAGAGGAACTAATAGAGCTTGACAAGATGTGCAATCGACCGCATTTTTGAGAGCGGCGAGAATATCATCCAAGAGATCTGCCTTGGACAAAGTGAGAAACAATAAGAGACTCGACACAGAAAAAAAAAAGTAGCGTATCTTGCTACCACCCATTGTGATGGACAACAGACCTCACTAAAGAATCATTGCTCATTTATGTGGAACCAGCTGAGGGATTCAACCTGGGACCACATGGGTCTCGGAGTTTCTTTTATGTTGAGAACCACTAAACTGATGTGGTTGAAATTTATACGGGTCTGTTAATATCATTGGTCCAATGGGAAGATGTATATTCTGAGCTTACTACTGAATCAAGACAACAACCGCCGTTGTAATCTACTATTTTTTCCCACATTTCGGACTTAATTGTCATACTATTTGTACTAGCATATACAGTAACAAATTCATAGGCTAAGTCAATATATCTTGGGGTGCGAACTTTGAGCATTTATGTAGTTCTGCATATGCGTGTTTGGTACTAATGCTAGTCTCATAATTCTTAAAAATATTTCACGCGCTTGGAAAAAGATATATGTATTTGGCTCAATAGTAAACTGTTGGGAGGAAGGAGCCCGCAATTTACGAATATACAAAAATATAATCTCACACGAAATTCGAACCCGCAACCTTAATACTCTTACCCTGTCAGAGGGACTGTAAGAGTCTTACGCTCTACTGACTGAGCTAGCAAGGCATGAACGTTACTGCCTACATTCTAACAGAACTGAACAACGACAACACCATTGTAACGTTCTGCAGTTGAGTCTGCTATTTTTCCCACATTCCAGACATTTGTCATACTGCACCTTACATGTACAAGGAATAATATTTTCCCTTCTACGCTCTTTAATTGTGTGGTCTTTGGTCCTCTTAAATACACTATTTACATACTATACTAGTTCAACGATATTGGCAGACCGATATCAGTAACAGTTGGCGCCAGACAGAAGAATACTAATAACTCTGGCACTTGTGAGAGTCGGCTGCCACGGGCAACTTTTCTCATGTGCGACCATGAAGATCGGCAATAGATAAAAGAAAATCATAAGTATTATCGCAAGACTTCCCCAGGCTCACCATGGCGGATAATTCAACTAGTCGTGTCCCTGACCGAGCCAACTTGAGATGAGACTCAATCAAGATCAGTTTCTCCGTACTCCCCTCCCGGTGGATCTGGACCAAGGTCGGGACCCTCACCCCAATCTAGACTCGCAAATACTATAGGGTTCCGATTCCTATATAGTGGTTAGAAGAAACATCTGTCTTAGAGTAGAGAAGAATTACCCAACACGATAATTCTGTCCTGTCCAATACCGACTGAGTGAGGCTGATACCACAGCCCTACACGCTGTGGTAACTGGCGCACGCCATGGAATTGGAAGGGCAATTGCACTCCGTTTCGCTGAAGACGGTCTCAATCTTGTTGTCAGCGACATGCCAAAAGAAACGAATGTACTCAACGCTTTGGTCCGCGAACTCACTGCGAAAGGCCGTACGTGCATCGGCGTGGTTGGTGATCCATTCCAAGCGGCAGATGTTCAGAAGATTGTCGACACGGCAGTAAATGAGCTCGGCGGATTGGATGTCGTACGTCACTTTTAATTCGGAAACCTGGGTAGTGTTAACAACGCCCAATGATAACAAGATGGTGGCAAATGCTGACATGGGGATCTCCAATCCGATCGTTGACGGTAATTATCTTTTTTTTCGGTCCATTCCAGTTGCGAGCACAAAAGATGGAATAAACATAGTTCCTGTCGATGAATGGGATCATATTCAGGCATTCAACCTCCGCAGCGCATTTTTAGGCAGCAGCAATACAGATGATCAAACAAGGAGAGGAGGGCGCATAAGTGGTCCGACCCTCTCTCACCCAATTATTATTCCAACCCACTTCCCAACTTGTAATTCCAGGCGCAACAACAATACTTTTAAACCAAGGTTTGAGGGTTTTGTTTGTAGTTCCCTTACCAGGAATGATGTCTTAAAGGTACTTCCGAATGGGCTGCATATTCCACTAGTAAGTTCGGTGTAAGGGGTTTGATACAATCCGCCGGTAAGCAAATTGGTTTATCAATGTATTGATATGCTCACAACTGCCAGTTGGGGAATGGCGCAAATACGGAATTAGTAGTGCTGTCGATATTCCTCAGTGTATTATATTCTCTCGGTGGTCCCGTTATTCTATCAGCACCCAATATAATCCATGAAGATCAGAACACACGAGCTGCGAATGGTGAGTAACTTCATATTCTCAGAGGAAACAACTTTACCTGCATATACATTAGGCGAAGCCCGAACGAAGTTCCCTGTCGTGTCATAGTTGCCCCGGCATCGCATCTGGCCGGAGACGAAACGAGGTTTATAACAGGTATGTTCCATTTTGAGGCAACTAAATAAAGTTCTCAACTTGTAACTGTTTTGAAGGTCAGGCGATCAGTATCAATGGAGGTATTCAATTCGATCAGGTTTTCCTGGTTCATGGATATGCACATGCAGTGATTATGTAAACTGCCCACAATGGAAGCGTCCTTGATTAAAAACACTTGAGAAGTAAGCATGTTGAGGTAATTCAATATAATTAATATGTTAAGTGATTATTCAACGTATTTGGAATCTTTGTAGGAGCCCAGTAATATTTGTATTTACCAATTAGCTATTGCACATTTGGTAGACGTTACGCAAACATCATTCAAGTTGAATTTTATTAGTCGATAACATTTTTATGATTCAGAGTAACTTTTGAGAAGGGAGGATTAAAGCAATTACTAAAGGTTAATTGTATTGTCTGAAGCCACAAAACGCACAAGATGGTTTATATTCGAACCAGTCTAAAAAGACGGGCTTGGACGGTATTTCCCAAGCGGGGATGTCGAAGTAGTATTTATATGCACTTTGACTGTTGTGTTGCCCCTGTTTTTGGTCGTCAACTCTTGTGTGCTCAACGATATTGTAAGCCCAGAGTCTTACGTGCGGACCTTTTTCTAGTTACGTAATCGCCGTGTGTGCCATTCGCTAGTTCATCGAGCAATACACCGTAGTCCTATCAACCTGTGCAACCCGGACCCAGTGAACCTATTTGACGACTGACTTTCAGATATTGGATATATCGTTAGGAAACACGCTGCCCGCAAGCGCAAATATTGTAAAATGGTTTTTTATTATCTAGAAGGCTACTGGTGGAGGTGCCCTAAACTGTTTGCCTCCGGATATAATTTGCCAATTTAAGCTGGCATAACAATCACATATCGACTAGGCATGTACATATGAGCTTTAAGTCTCCGACCGGCTACAAGGAATAATATTCTCTCTTGAATACTCTCTTTACCTATATTGGCCTTCTTAGGTGTGCGTTATTTACATACTAAGTTCATCAATTGATATAGGTGGATCAGTGACAGCTGGCACCAACAGAGGGACGGATAGTAATCTGGCATTTGTGAGAATTAACTGCAAACGCTTTTCTCATATGCAACAGGTGACCAAACTAGATCCGTAGGACTAGATAAAATCGTGTGTAGCTATTGCAAGACTACCCCAAGGCTCACCATGGCGGATAATTCAACTACTCGTGTCGCTGTGGTAACTGGCGCATGCCATGGAATTGGAAGGGCAATTGCACTCCGTTTCGCTGAAGACGGTCTCGATCTTGTTGTCAGCGATATGCCAAAAGAGGCGGATACACTCAACGCTTTGGTCAGCGAACTCATCGCGAAAGGCCGCAAGTGTGTCGGCGTGGTCGGCAATCCAACCCAAGAGGCAGATGTTCAGAAGATTGTCGACACGGCAGTAAACGAACTCGGCGGATTGGATGTCGTACGTCACGCTTGATTCAGCAACCTGGGTAGTGCTAATTGCGCCCAACGACAACAAGATGGTGGCAAATGCTGGCATTGGAATCTCCAATCCGATCGTCGATGGTGATTATCCTGTCTTTTAGTCCATTCCATAAAGGCTCAATAGACATAAATTCACAGTTCCTGTCGATGAATGGGATCATGTCCAGGCATTCAACCTGCGCAGCGCATTTTTGTGCTACAAGGCAGCAGCAATACAGATGATCAAACAAGGACGAGGAGGGCGCATAATTGGTCCGGCCGTTTCTCATCTCATCATTCCAACCATTTCTTAACTTGTAATTCCAGGCGCAACATCCATAATTTCAAAGCAAGGTTTGACGTTGTCATTTGCAGTTTCTTTATCAGGCGGAATAATGCCTTATAGGCGGTCCCGAATGGGCTGCATATTCCGCCAGTAAGTTCGGTGTAAGAGGCCTGACACAATCGGCCGGTGAGCAAATTGGTCTGTAGATGTGTCGATATGTTCACAGCCGCCGCCAGCCGGGGAATGGCGCAAATACGGAATTACTGTCAATACATACGCCCCTGGTGCTGTCGATATCCCCCAGTGTATTATATTTCCTCAGTAGTCCCGTTATTCTATTAACGCACAATCCGTAGTCCATAGCGATCAGAACACACGAGCTGCGAAGGGTGAGTGACTTCACATCTTCAAAGGAAACAGATTTACCTGCCATGTATGCCTAGGCGAAGCTCGAACTGAGTACCCTGTCGTGTCGCCAAAGGATATAGCTGCTTTGGCGTCGTATCTGGCCAGAGATGAAACGAAGCTTATAACCGGTATGCTCGATTTAAGACAACTCTTTGCGCACAATACTCAATTTATATGATTGCTTTTGAAGGCCAGTCGATCAGCATCAATGGAGGCGTTCAATTCGATTAGGTTATCTCGGTCCATGGATATGCGCATGTTAATTATGTAAATTGCCCGCGATTGATACGATAGGTTGTACTATAGTGACTAGGTCCTTGAATAAAAGCCCCAAAGAAATCGTTAGTGTAGTTAATTATGTCATGCATACGTTAAATGATTATCCTGGATATTATTAGCAGGAGCCTAAGAATATCGGTATTTAGTTATTTATCTATCACAAATTAGGTAAATGTCAAACACGTCCCAAGTTGAATAACCTTTCTCTTACTCATAATAATTCCTCTTTTGTAACGAATATAATATCTATCATACGAAGGATAATGAGTCAATACTGCTTGTGGGAGAAGAAAATATAGATGGGTAACATACCTCAGTCGACACACGGTGAGAATCGACTGAGGTATAGAGTGGCAACGTTGATTGTTCTTATACGAAGTTTAAGGGATAGAAACGAGAGGGTAGACAATATCAGAAAAATATGGGATAGCAACTGAAATGGTTGCAAGGCATGATCGGTACCTCGTAACCTTGTGGTATAGTATAACTGCCCTAGTTCTTGTGATGGGGAGCATGCGATAGCCCTTCAATTATTACATCTTTTTTCGTTTTGTTATATTATCTGCAGCCAAGAAATGCGTAAAGGGGGTCTATATCTAAACCGGTCTAAACGAGACGAGTGCAAAAGCAGGCGCGAACGGTGGTAGTACTACAATGAACATGGCAAAATCGAATGGCAGACATGGGGAATTCGCAGGTCACTAGTGACTGCTCTGATTCAGAAATTCTAGCAACATCTAGTTGAAGGCAATCTCGACGTCGAGTCAGGACAAAGGAGACGGAGGGTATTTGCCCAAGCGGGGGGATACACACTACCCAATAGTACAATGCGCGAGTCAATCGCAGGGGCGGCTCAGCCGGGTGTGGGGAATGTACACGTGCATTCGGGGTAGGTTAATGATG